AGAATAATTGTTCCATCTTAAATCTAGTGTCCCCTTGATGATATGTTGTTACTAATAGGAGCTTACACTGTGAAATAACTTCCATGATCAACCATGTGCTGTGTTGCCTTATTTTAGCATGACTTTGGTCCAGTATGTACTCCTCTATTGCAACATCAATATAAATATTATAGAATTGGCAGTATAGCAGATTGCTTATTATGTACTGACTATTTTATTGAAAAAAAATCTTGATTCTTTTCCAAAGATCACAGTGCTGCTATTTTTGGTTAAGCTTTATGTTCTTTTTGGTTATGATTTTTAGACTTGAAAGAAATCTCCTAAACTCTCTTGAAACACAAAACAATTATTTCTTTTCCTTTTCCCCTTCCCAACCAATGCCTTATGGCTATCCTAATTTAAATCTGTTTTGAATTAACTGTTCCTTTGACCAAGGAGTAATAATTTTTCCCCATAGTCCATTCACCCTGGTTTAAGAAGTTCAGGATATTTCTGGAAAGGACTGGATATGTTTTTTTTCCTTGATAAGCAAGGATTGCTGTTATTTGTCCTCTGACAGTAAGCAAACAGAAATGTCATTGAAAGTGAATTTGAGAGCAGACCCTAAGACAACATCTTAATGAGAATTAACAGGTCATACACATTTTTTTACTGAAACATCTCCCTTTAGTATGTTTTATTTAGGTTTCACATGTTGCTGCTCTGAAAGAGGTTCAAAAGAATCTGATCTTTTTAATGTTAGTTTCATTGAAATAATGCTTTTTTAGGATTGACTTTGACTCTGGTATAAAGATGATTTTTAGATAAAATCAACTTCAATTAAGATAAATGGAAGAAACTATATTTTAGTTGAGTGGATAGAAAAATTAGTAAGTAGTGAATTATATAGTTAACATTCTAATTAGTTCTGTTATCAAAGAGACAATCAGAGAAGTTTGAACTGTCTCCATTCTTCAGTAAATTTCTCATTTTTTTAGCAGGTATGAAACTCACAAGATAATCTGATAGTAAATTTCTTTTCTATGTTGATTTGTGTAGTTTATTTATATATACTTCATACATAAACGTAAGAGATAACTGACTTCTAATTTTGTCAATTTTGAAATGATAGAAAATCATTACCTTCAGCCAATACAGGAGTTAAACCTCAGATGACAAAATGTCCTTTGAATGACACTAAAAGAAAATAAGTTTATATGGTTTGACTTTTTACTTCCCTCTTTTGAAAAATAGAGTTTCTTTAAAGGGAAGTATAAACTACTCCTTGTCACCTGAGTAATGTCTATCCCTCATTCAAATTCTTGCCATGAAAAAAGTTAATAAACATTAACTTTAACATAAAAAAATCTTTAAAACAGTACAATGTAGGTGTTATAGAGGCAGATACCAATGCCGAAACAGAAAATTTCATAAATGGACAGTTTTAGGCGAGCATGAAGCAATTTTCTTGTCCTTCTTGAATACACCCCAGGAAGCAGTAAAGGAAACCATCAGCCTCACTTTCTGAATCTCATTTGTCACTTACACACTCACCCTCTTCCCAAGGCCAATGAAAGATGGAACTATCATAGTTCTTTATCAGATGCACTGTTGGAAATACTTCCACACTAAGCCAAGCTATCAATGGCAGCACGCAATTTAAAGTGAGCAAATATTGTCACCTCTTCCTCAGACCGGACAAGGTCTCTAGGACTTCTCTGCTGAGGGAACGTCTGAAGTCAGAAACAATCATGACTTATGTTCTTCCGGTTTTCTTTGTAGCTTAAGGTCCTACAGCATTACATGGAAACAAAATCTAATTACTTCGGTGGATTAAGAAGAACTAAGCAAATTCCTCATAAAACACATTTCCCATCCAACTGTTTTTACTTCTCTGATACACCTTTCATTTTTAGTACCCACCACTGAAGCAGCAGAATTAGACAAATTATCACCCTCTCTCCACACAGTGTGCTGAGAATTTCTGTGCATGCCGGCTGGGACCTTAGGTCTTTGGAATGACATTTGCTCCCTCACAGTGGGTGCACTGGGAAGAGAAGGAAAAGGAAGTTGGAAGTGAAAAAGAAAGATAAGATGCAGAGTAGGAAGAGCCGGAACAAGAAAAGTGAAGATGTGTGGTGAGAAGAAAAGAGAAGAGGAGAAAGGAGAAGGGGAATGTTCAGTGAGGAGAGAGGAAGGAAAACAAAAAGGAAACCAAGCAGAAGAGAGAAAAAAGGGCAAAGAAAGAGAAGAAAAGGAAAGAGGATCAACAGGCAAAGATTAGACAGAGTCATCCTTGGTTTGCAGACGTCTGTTGCAGAAGGTACTGCAGAAGATGGAAGCCGTGCTCCCTGCACCACCCTGGGTGAATGACACGAGGTGGGGAGAGAAGTTAGAAGCCCGTCTGTCTCGTCAGTCCTCTGTGTGTCTTGACGGGGCGGCTTCCTGGAGTGTCCTTTCGTTATGCGTATTTGGGTCTGGGAACATTCCCAATGGGATGCTCCCAAACTCAACAGCCCTGGTTAAAGGTCGTGGCTCAGTTGCTAGGAACCTTGCTCAGCTGAGAAAGAAAACTCCGTACAGCTAAGGAGAAGTGTGAGCCGAAATCTGACTCCTCTGACGTGCCCCCCGCACGCCTGTGCTGTCCCATCCCAAGAAAAGGAGAGAAGGCAATCACAAGTGAGCATCACAGGTGGCTCACTTTTACTGTGGCTGGGGTAATATTCATAATGAACTTCAAATAATTTAATAATAAGTGATTAAAAATGCAGTTATTAATATCCTTAATTTCTATACTTCCGTTATCAACATTGCAATGTCTGCAACAGGTCTTTCCAAATTTGGGAAAATATTCAAATTAGAGGCAAAATCATCAGCAGCAAGTTGCCTTCACTCCTGTATGAAGAACTTGGTTTTGATCAGTCTTAGCCAAAAATTGAGTATTTGCAATCTCTGTCATAAGAACATAATCATTGTCCTGTATCTATGATCAAGAACTTTGGCACTAGCCAAAATACGACATTTTCCTCGAGACTGATTTCATGATAAAAACATTAGCAAAAACTTTCTCACACTAATAAGATCTTGTCAGGAAAAAAAGAAACAATGACAATAAATTATCATATAGGGGCCTTCTGTATTATTAAATCTTAAGCAAGAGATTTGTTGAAAACTTAACATGTAGATTAAAAAAGAATGAAAAATAGTAGCTGATATTTTAGTGGCTGTTGAAATTGGTCTGTGTCGATGTTCAAACTTCAGCCAGACAGCAAAGATCAACGCACCTAAGCATAGCTGTCTAGCTTCTGTGGACCACTCATACTGGAATGAACCTTGTCTGTGTTTTCCAAACTAGATGATGCGGATCCAGCCTTATAAATCTCTCCCAAATCATTTCCCTCCTAATTATTTCCCAGGGCAGTTTTGATTTGCAAGAACCTTCCAAACACCACCCAAGCACCTTCCACTGTCCTTCCCATCATCCCTGCCAGCATGTAATCTACTTTCAGGGTTAACACTGTTTTATGAATATACTCTGAGACACAAAAACGTGAGACGGAATATGCCTTCATTTTCCTACTGAGGATGTCAGTGTTTTCCACCTTCAGTCTCCCCCTTAAATTTTGAGAACCAATCCCATATATGGACATCTCACATTTCTTTTGTGGTGGTCATCCAGGTCCAGATACAAAATGCAGGTTCTGATAGACTTTTCATAAGATCAGACTGGTCCCAGACTTAGAGTTATTTTAGAGAATATGATTTTTGCTCTTCATTTTATACATGAGAAAACTGAGAACTAAAGAATTAATAACTTAAACTTCTGTCAACCACAGTTACTCCATGATTTTGGATTAGGTCCTCAAATTTTGCATAGAATTACTAAAAATTCAGATAGGCCATTAACCAAAAAGATAAAGATATGTGTAAATTCTTTTGATTATTAATGAGATTCCACATCTGAAATTCATGTTAAAATTAAAGGCTCAGCATTATTTTTAATATTGTAAATTGCTTATATTTTTATTAAAAAGGAGGCAGAAGCTGTTTCAAAACCATCTCTTACCAGAAGCTTCTAAGAAGGAATCCCACTGTGTTAACTTCATTATTTCAAAATGACCAGATGTGGACGTACAGATCGAAGATGAGAGAGAGGTGGAGCAGCAGAATGTGACTTAAGGTTTCTTATGTCACTAATAAGAAGGCAGATTCATGTTCTCTCCTGAAGCACTAATGACAATATTTTGTAACATCATCTTCTCACTGGTGTTGAAAGTACACATTAATGGTGATTATGAATGAGAGAGTGTGTGCTGAGCAGTCTGTTTAAGAGCCCAGAACCAGAAAGAGGGTGAGCCCGATTAGAAAATAAAGTAGTTTTACTTTTTCTGATGCTTGGGGCCAAGACATGATGAAAACATATTTCTGCAGAAAAGGAATAGGACCATTTCCTGTCTCTATGTAGAGATTTTGGAGCTGGGGATCTAGTTTTATAAGGAAGAAGACAAATTGGGACTCAAGACAGAAACAGTCTGTGGGTCAATGTCATTCTTTGCTTCCTCTAATTTATATTACCCTTCTTTTCTTTAATAACAGAATCCTCAACTTATTCATTAAGGCATACTGTCAGAATAAGATTTCATTTATCAGTCTCACTTGCAACTCTAGATAGGCAGATAAAAAGATAGATATAGATAAATAGATGATAGATAGATAGATAGATAGATGGATGGATGGATGATAGATATATAGAGACAGACAGACAGACACTAGATAGATAATTATAGTCAATGAGACCTAAATAGGTGTTTACTGGGAAATCCAGACAAGCTCTTTAAAACTGGCATCTGGTGTTTGGCTCATTCTCTAACCCTTTCTTTTTGGATGTATCAGTTTTCAGTTCAGTATAACAAATCATTACAAACTTAGTGTCTTAACACAATGCACATTTATTATGTCACAGTTCTTGTGGGCCAGGAGACTGGGCTGGGTTCTCAACTTCAGGGTCTCACCAAGCTTGAATCCATGTGTTGACTGGGGCAGCAGTCTCACTAGAGGCTTACAGGGGGTCATTTTCTTCCATGTTCCCTCGGGTCATTAGCAGAATTCACTTCTTTGCAGCTGTGGGCCTGAGGCTTTCGTGTCTTGTGGGAAGTCATCTTCACCTCTTAGAATCTGCCAGCATGGGGTTCCATGTAAGTTTCTCCAGTGGGGCAGTTTGCTTCTCTAATGCAGGAGAGGGTAAAGACTCTGGTCAGTCTGCTAGCCACATGGAGTGTCATATAATGTACTGTCATCAGGGTGTGACATCCCATCACCTTTGCATATTCTACTGTTTAGAAGCAAGTCACAGGTCCTTTCCACATTCAAGGGAAGGGCATTGTGCAGGGTGTGAACAACAGAACAGAGGGGTCATGATGCATCACCTTTAACCTTGCCTGCTGCAATGTGTTCACAAAAATGTGTTACAACTCCCACAACTGTCTTGTGGTCTTGAAGATGGGAGTTAAGTAATAAGGATAACAAATATGTGTCCCTAAGGACTTCATGAGATACTGAACCAACTTTAGAATGCCTACCTCTGGTCGTCTTGTTACATGAGAAAATTAACCTCTACTTTTCATAAATCTCTCTGTTTATATATCTGGCATTTATATTGAACATAATTATTTACTGAATTAAACCACTTTTAAAATGATGTATCAGGCATGTAGTTATATACATCATCTCATGTCTTCCTACAAAAGGTCATAAAAAGCAGGTGTTCTTCCCCTTACTGTAGATGACCACATCCCTTACTCACTATAACCTAATTTGTTCCAAAATGGCATCTCTCTTCTCTCCCTGTAGAACTATGGATTTCTTCACTGTGATTTTCCAGGGAACTTCGAATTCAAAGGCACTTTCTCAACTCAAAAATTTGGGGGTAGCTCCTGCATGTGATGGGGCATAGCTCCTTCAAGGTTTGAATGAGTGGTGCTCATGATGTAATCAAGATGGAGAAGGAGACTCATGGTGTTTCAGTACAAATAAATGCCAAAAGTTATGCTTGCAAGGGAAGGAAACTCTCCTCTGTAAGTCCCACATGGACCATTGGCAACACATTGTCCTTTGTGGTGGAGGAGCTGTGCGACTTTTAGATGCTTCGGCAAGACAAAAGCAGAAATCAAAACAGAAGAGCATCTATAGCTCCAGGAGCAAACATGCACATTCCAGGATTTGAAAATTCACTTTCTGCAACCTTCCAGCATAAATAAGAGGGAAGGGGATAGTCACAGTTCACCACATCACCGGAGCTGTGCTGTCCAACATGGCAGCTGCTAGTGACATGTGGCTACTGTATGCTTGCCATGTGGCTGGGTGGGTGGGGAGGTTGAGAGGGATAAAGGGGCACAGAAATTCTCATTCGTAATGTAGGTTGGTCATGGGGGATGGTAGTGTGGTATGGAGAAAATAGGCAATGATTCTGTAACATCTGTCTATATTGACAGTAACTGCACTAGTGGGGGTGAGGATCTAATAGTATGGGTAACTATTGAACCACTGTGCTGTATACTTGAAACCAGTATAACATTGTATATCAACAATACTGAAATTTAAAAAAATTCAGTAGGAAAGCTATCAATTCCACCACAACAGCAACTCAACTGGAAGAAATTTCTCCAACAAAATTGGTTTCTAGAGCAGATATTTTAAAGAGTATGTTGATTCTGCCATAATCAAGCAACCCTTTAGTAAACAATTCAAAAGCATGTTTCCATTGGCAAGTGCTGCATCTGATTTGTTTCTGCCACAGACGGAAACATTCATTAAGGAAAATAATCTGACAACTCATGTGAGCAGAAATATTGCTTGACAGAGATCAGAAATCTATCTCCTTTATCTACTTACTCAGACCCTGAAAGATGAGGGACTCCCGTAGGGTTAAGGGTAAGGATGGAATGGAGAAATCACGTCCAGTTAGCAGCTCCAGTTTGTGACTTTCAAGGGCAGACTGTGAAGGAAAACATGCCTGACTGGGTAGATGTGTTCTTCTAAGTGGTCACCGAAGTGTGAGGTTCCTTTGTATAAATGTGCTGCAAAATATGAGACAGCTTACTATCAGGGAGCAAGCATATTAAAAACCTTCTCTGTTTACTTATCTCTTCTATAAACTTCTGAAAAATTCATATACTTCCTATGAATTACGTAAAATTCTGTAGCATATCTGGCAATGCCTCAAAATTTCAGATGTATTTAGGAAAATGCCCAGGTTTCTGTGGTTTGTGCTTTAAGAAATCAAAAGTTTTAAAATCAGGGACTTGAGTGCCTAAGGCTGCTGGGCGGGCTGTGGCCGGCTTACTCGAAGTGATGGTGGTCGTGCTGGTCTGCTTTGGCAAAAGATCTGGAAGCAAAAAGTTTCCCAAGTCCAGTTACCTGGAGGCATGATAATTCTAATCTTTTCCTGGCTTTTACCCTTCAAAAGGGTTTAGAATAACCAAATAGTACTGGCTGATGACAGAAAGTGTATTTTTTTCTAAGTATTCCAATGAATAATTGTGAAAGGAATGAGATAATTAAAAAATCACTCATTTGCAACTTCTAATGAAATACATGATGCTGGCAGCAATAAAAATCTGCCAAGCTAAGGTCCAGAAGAGATGATCTTCATCATGAGAAAGCAGATATTACCTGACTGGCCCTGCCGTGGTCTAATGCTTTTTCTACTCTCTTATGAATTCCCTGCACTGCCTATCCCAGCCCCTCCTTCCACCTCCCCCCTTTCTTCCTTCCTTCTGTCAATCCTTCCTTCCCTCTTCTAGTAACTGCTTATTGAGACCATGTTGTCATTGGCATTGAGGATGTGAAAATCTAACATCCTTTCTCTATTTTGCCCTTGAGGAACAGTATTCAATAGAGAAAAGCTCAAGGACCAGGCACAACTAGATTGGAAAAACATTCTATTGCTTTCAAGCTATGGGATTTCATGTGTGTGACTTGAGCTCTCCACGTTTTGAGTTTCCCACTTCTCAGCGTAATGGTGAGGGTAAAAGAGAGAGAATTGGTAAAGCACCTAACATAACCACTGGCATATAATAAGCACTTGAAAACATTAAGTTCATGATCTGCCCCCCACACTGGTGAGTGAGACCAAAAAGGGCTTCCACTCTTGTCCCCGTCTCTGGAAATACATTTTCTTCATGACCTGATACCTCTACTAATTGAAAATAACATTTGTTTGATTATGGACAAACATGGAACAATCTCACCCCTTTGGGTCCAAACTCTTTCACCTCCAGCCTGATGTTGAACGATCTCTGTAATTCTTGAAAAACTTGAACATGTGTCAGCCCTTACATGTGGGACAGCTGGTTGTTTTATATTCCTCACACCCTCTTTACTACGCTCAGTATCTTCTCTGTGACCAATAGCTTTTAATGCTTAAGAGGGTTTTAGTTTTCTCTTTCCGCTTGCTGCTCGTGGGTTAGATGATATCAGACAAGGGCAAATAGGTCTGATGAGCTCTGGGTGACTGTCCTAAGGGCCAAGCCACCATAAAAGAAGCAGAGTTCACACTCATGCACGTCTCTCTACCACTCTCCTAGGACGGGCCTGCACACGATGACCTACTTGGGTTTTTTCTTCCCCTTTGGTGGCCAAATGCAGCTCCCTTGGCTCTTTCTGTACACAAAGTGGGGCAGCAGGCTGGTTGTGGGCTGAATGGCTCTGACACTAACCAGCAGAGTAATGCTGGATAACACACTTCTGTTCCTTGGCCTTTCAGTTTACTGACCTGAAACCAAGGTCTTTAATCTAGATAACGTCTTCCAGCTCTTACATTCTGCGACATTATTATGACTTTGCTACTTGTGGAAAATCTTCAGAAAAATTGCTGTAAACAAACAAATAAAATTCAGGTGTGATAACAGGGCAATGTAATATAAACAACAGTGGGATTCTATAGGTTGGGTGGTCACGGATGGCTTTGATGAAGAGGTGGTATTAAATTGAAAATGGCGAGAAGGAATCTCCCTAAGGTCTGGAGAAGAGCACTAGGAGCAGAGAAAACAGCCTATAAAAAGGCTCTGAGGCAAGAAGGAGGGTAACAAGCTGGAGAATAGGAAGGTCATTTCTGCTGAAACAAGGTAACGTTGGAGGGAGCGGTATGAGACGAGGGTCCAGAGGGTCCAGTGCTGTGGTGGACCAGGGCAGGTGTGGCCGGGATTGTCTTCTCCGGGAGTTCCAGGAGTTGAGGCAGGTGTTGAGATTGCTTCTTTAAATCTGGAATGAAGTTCACCATAAAAAGCTCCAAAAATGAGGCTTAATATTCTAATACCACGATGCACGGTAATGCTGATTTTTCAAAAGATTTACATCCAAAGTTCACCCTAGAGCTTTGTAGATAAGGGTAATGCATTTTTCAAAAATCATAGTTATATTCTAGTTGGTCTTTTTCTTTTTCTTTTTTTTAACCTGGGATGCTTTTTGTTGTATAAAACTTCCAATAGAAATAAATTACAAACAAACTTGAAGGTAAATTACAAAATTCAAAATGTAATTCTTCTGTGCCACTGAATATGAATGCCCATTAGGTAATAACACAGGTTTTGCTCATAGAACTGAATATAGGGATATTATTTATTTCTTTTTTACTTAAGAAACAACAGGGAGTATAAACTTTTGCTACTGGGAATTTCAAACCCAACTTCTATTTGTGGTTCTATAATTGATATAATAGGACAGGTCACTTTCATAATTACAGAAATTAACAGAAGTACATTTTAAGAGTAGAATGGTAATGGCATTGTTTGATAATATAGATGGAGAAAAAGCATTATTTATTAATAATTGTGATTTGGTAAGAAAACAGTATTTCTCAAGTGTGATCTAGTAAAATGCACGAGGGCTTAGCAGACAGGATTGTGTTCCAGTCCCGGTTCTCATGCAGTAGTTGTCTGAACTGCTGAGTCCTTTGACACTGCTTAGCCTCAGTATCTTTATCAGTAAAGTAGGGATGACAATGTCTTATTTTTCCTTAATAAATGACACAGTGTTTGGGAAGCCTCTGCTAAAGGGAATTCATAATCAGTGGTCCTTCCACAGCTCATCCTGTGTGAGCCCATCACCATCCCTCTCTCTATTTGCACTCCCATCCCAGCCATAAGTCACATTTACGTAAGGTGCCAGGGACTGGTATGTTCAATGTGGTTCATTTTACTTGGGTTTGGTGAGTTACTTATTATAGTGACTTATGATGGATATTTTGCAGAACAGTTTTAAGAAAGAATAACTTGATCTTTGTCCAGCCGTTTCCTGATAGAGGAGATACCCATCACAGTAATATATTAGAGTTTAAGTCTTATATCTCATGAAATAAGAATTCCTTGAAAATGTTAGCACAACCTAATACACAGCCCCCAAATAATAGGAGAGAATGTACCAAATACCAATATTTATTCATATACCGTGTACCCATATATGTTCATGTAGCCTGTATACATATATATATATTTATTTATTTATTATATTTAAGGAATTAATAAAAGAAAGCAAAGAGATAATGAAAATTACTATGTAAGAAAAGGAATGACTATGTAAGAATAACAGACATGGAGATGAAGCTTCAACTGTTTAAGTCTTGCCAAACCAGGAGCAGGACTTATGTGTTATAATTCATGAAAACAAGAATCTTATCATCTGCATGCCAGACTGAAAGACATGGCATACAATGAATTTGCCTGCCTTGTTCTTTTGCAGTGTTTCAAAGCAGGCACCTTATCTCAAGGAAAATACATGCAGCTTGCTTTTAGTCAGTTTACTGACTGAACAAGGAAAGTCAAAGATAAAGATGCTCAAAACACGTGTCCTCAGATTTGGCGACTCATTTTACGTTTCACAGACCGCACTCTGCCCTGTCCTGCCACAGATCATTATCCACACTACTACTTCATTACTGCAGGAAACATCACCTTCACAGGCTACGTTCTTCTCTTTTAGTATTACGAAGTAAAATACCTTTTGAAAATAAGCAGGAGCAAACTTTAATAGATACATTACACTTATTAATTACTATATCACATATTGACCTATATCATTATTAAAAGGTTTGGAATGGAAAGCAATCTTACCTAAGGACTAAAACGCAGGAATGGGTAAGGTTATATAGAAGGACAAAAAAAGGAAAAAGCAAAAGCAAAACAGGAAAAGTGGTGAACTGCTATTAGTAATTGCCAGCCTGGCCTGAACTGTTAGTAACTAGGCAAAATAGCAAAAAGCTGGTCAAGATTTATGGCTGCCAGTGCACCTGATTTCCCAGCCAGCACTTAGGAACCTAGAAGAAGACAAATTTCTCTTAAGAGAGAACTTTTTCCCATGTTTTATATTTTACATGGTCAATATTGTGAAGCATTTGTCACACTCAGATGCCCTATCACAGCAGGTAATCCTGCACTTTTCTCTAGCTGATGGGTAAATTCTATTCGCTTTTAGCTTCCACCAGCCTCATCCCTTGGTAAATCTGATTATGGTATCCTATTAAGGAGGTTACTTACTTGATAGAGAAGCTGACTTTTTCCTGAAGGAGTTTGGCTTCAAGTTAGCAGGAAAGAAACTTTTTTTAAATATGTATAACAAATGGCACAGATATTGAAATGGTAAAACAAAATACATGATTCACATCATTGCTGCAAATAAATGTATACAAGATAACTTAAAGTTTGAGAACTGTGATTACCAACACAGGTTAAGTGTAAATATTATAGAACACCCTGAAATAGCCCAAACATCAACTGTATATGAAATTTCTTTTAAAAATCACCTTTAATAAGATACTCTATTTTTTATAGCCTTTATAATTCCATTATAGTGTGCATACTTTTATTTTTTTCATTGTGGCAAAAAAGAAAACCCCACATAATCTAAAACTCTTTCTCCTAACAATTTCTAGAATGTGTATTCTTAATGCTGCTCTTGGGATCTATCAAAATTTTGAAATGCCTTTTTGGACTCAGCAGAGACAAATGCATTCAACATAATTTTAGGACCACATTATTTGCTGAAGTTCAATACCTTGAGAAAAACACATTCACACAAAGTGGTTTTTTTTGCCCCCAAGCTTGCCACCTTTTAATTGAGTGGGAAGGAGAATTTGTTAAGAGTAGAATCTTTCCTGGAGACTTTGATTCAGTGGTTCTGGGTTAGAGAGAGGAATCTGGATTTTTAACCTTTGCCTCAAGTGGTGGTTTTGGTCAGTCTGTTTGGGAAACACAGAAGCAAAGATGTTTAAGTCTATTATTAGAATATCTCATTCCCCACCCATCCATGAATGCTGGGAAGCATATTGTTAATACTGTCTTCTTCACACATTATTGAGCAATGGAAGTTTTCTTCATTTTTATAAGGTTCAAACACTTCTGAGTTCTGATGGGCTATTGCTGTCACCTTGATTCTCTCTCTGCTATTTTAACATCTAACACCAAGAACCTGCTATGAGGTTAATGGGTCAGTGGCCATTATTACATGAGTAAAACCTCGTTATTACATGAGTAAAACCTGTGTTTCTACCAGTCCCCTTTGAAAAATCCAAAAGGGAAAGTACTGAAACAAATCTTTAGAAAAATTATCCACCCCAAAGGGAGAGATTAGTTCAACAAATAGTTGCTTCACAAAAGGTGTATGATAATCTTGAATGCTTTGTTTGGAGTTTGCAGTAAACTTTTGGATATTGAGATAAGTTTTTTTCTTTATAAATAACAATTAATTTTCTATGTATTAAGCTTTTGACTCGCTCATGTTTGTGTCAACTTTAGTAATACAAGTGATAAACATGTAGCTTTTAAACAGAAGAAATGTTTACATAAGCATAATGTAAATAATAAATCACAGAGAGGAAAAACTGAGCTATTAGAAGCTTATGAACAGATAGTAAAGCAAAAAAAGCAAGTTTATAAAATACGTACAATTTATTTGCATTATTTTACAATAAAAATATGAATAGGGGAAAATAGAGACTGGAAGGAAAGATACCAAAATTCTGGTGGTAGATTGTTTATTCTGCAATTATTGGTAATTTTAAATTTTTCCTCCATTTTGATTTGTATTTTAAACCCTTCTAATAATTATATTTATAATAAAAGTTGTTAAAAATTGTTAAAAAATAACATTGATTTTCCTGAAACATTACCAAGACTTTATTTTTGTGAACTTGCTTTTCAATTTCCCCTTTAAAATTGACCTTGGAAATGTCTGATATTTATACATCAACCTTAGCAATAAATTTATGCACCAAAATCAACTGCAGAAGAGTTCAGACTGAAAGGTGTGTTTGATAAGATGACATTAATAGTATATTGCCAATTCTAAATTTATGTATCTTCCAACTCATTTGGAATTTTTAGCTCCAGATGAAAACAATTCAGTCTTTGATGTAAAAAGAAAATGGGAACAGTGCTTAGAAGAACTAATTTAACAAAAGTGTGAAGGAAAAGATTATGCATATAATCACCTTACATACAAGTTATTTTTAAAAATCCCAATCTGTTTAATTTCAAGGTAAAAAATGCTACTTTTCCACATTGTCGTTCAGCAAAAACTTCTGATTAGATACAGGGCCCTGGATTTTAGGACCGGCATTTCCACTAAAGGAGTATGGTGATGATAGATTAGTATGGATTTCCTCAAAGGTTTACTGTGAGCATAATTATGTTCCCTTTCAACATCATATGGAGGTGATGTAAAAATAAAATTAAAATAGATAGAGATTGTTTTGAAATGTCAAAAACATACTCTGAAAATCATACATGGTCTGGCCACGTTGAAGCAAGATGTTCCAGATTGACTCTTCCACCAGAAACAACCAACACATAAAACAAAATATATGAAATACTGTTTGCAGATGAACATTGTGCAGCACAGGGAGTGATCTCAA